TGGTGATCAACTAGTTGTAAAACCTTGTGGTTACAGACTCACTGGTTCTTTGATCATGTGGTGATCAACTAGTTGTATAACCTCGTGGTTACAGACTCACTGGTTCTTGGATCATGTGGTGATCAACTAGTTGTATAACCTTGTGGTTACAGACTCACTGGTTCTTTGATCATGTGGTGATCAACTAGTTGTATAACCTTGTGGTTACAGACTCGCTGGTTCTTGGATCATGTGGTGATCAACTAGTTGTATAACCTTGTGGTTACAGACTCGCTGGTTCTTGGATCATGTGGTGATCAACTAGTTGTATAACCTTGTGGTTAGAGACTCACTGGTTCTTTGATCCTGCGGTGATCAACTAGTTGTAAAACCTCTGGTTACAGACTCGCTGGTTCTTGGATCATTTGATCAACTAGTTGTATAACCTCGTGGTTACAGACTCACTGGTTCTTTGATCATGTGGTGATCTACTAGCTGTAACTGGTTCTTCGATCATGTAGTGATCAACTAGTTGTATAACCTCGTGGTTACAGACTCACTGGTTCTTTGATCATGTGGTGATCAACTAGTTGTAAAACCTCGTGGTTACAGACTCACTGGTTCTTTGATCATGTGGTGATCAACTAGTTGTAAAACCTCGTGGTTACAGACTCACTGATTCTTTGATCATGTGGTGATCAATTAGTTGTAACTGGTTCTTTGATCATGTGGTGATCAACTAGTTGTATAACCTCGTGGTTACAGACTCACTGGTTCTTTGATCATATGGTGATCAACTAGTTGTATAACCTCTGGTTACAGACTCACTGGTTCTTTGATCATGTGGTGATCAACTAGTTGTAACTGGTTTCTTTGATCATGTGGTGATCAACTAGTTGTATAACCTCTGGTTACAGACTCACTGGTTCTTTGATCATGTGGTGATCAACTAGTTGTATAACCTCTGCTTACACTCACTTGTTCTTTGATCATGTGGTGATCAACTAGTTGTATAACCTCTGGTTACAGACTCACTGGTTCTTTGATCATGTGGTGATCTACTAGTTGTATAACCTCGTGGAAACAGACTCACTGGTTCTTTGATCATGTGGTGATCAACTTGTTGTAAAACCTTGTGATTACAGACTCACTGGTTCTTTGATCATGTGGTGATCAACTAGTTGTATAACCTTGTGGTTAGAGACTCACTGGTTCTTTGATCATGTGGTGATCAACTAGTTGTAAAACCTCTGGTTACAGACTCGCTGGTTCTTGGATCATTTGATCAACTAGTTGTATAACCTCGTGGTTACAGACTCACTGGTTCTTTGATCATGTGGTGATCAACTAGTTGTATAACCTCGTGGTTACAGACTCACTGGTTCTTTGATCATGTGGTGATCAACTAGTTGTAAAACCTCGTGGTTACAGACTAACTGGTTCTTTGATCATGTGGTGATCTACTAGCTGTAACTGGTTCTTTGATCATGTAGTGATCAACTAGTTGTATAACCTCGTGGTTACAGACTCACTGGTTCTTTGATCATGTGGTGATCAACTAGTTGTATAACCTTGTGGTTAGAGACTCACTGGTTCTTTGATCATGTGGTGATCAACTAGTTGTAAAACCTCTGGTTACAGACTCGCTGGTTCTTGGATCATTTGATCAACTAGTTGTATAACCTCGTGGTTACAGACTCACTGGTTCTTTGATCATGTGGTGATCAACTAGTTGTATAACCTCGTGGTTACAGACTCACTGGTTCTTTGATCATGTGGTGATCAACTAGTTGTAAAACCTCGTGGTTACAGACTAACTGGTTCTTTGATCATGTGGTGATCTACTAGCTGTAACTGGTTCTTTGATCATGTAGTGATCAACTAGTTGTATAACCTCGTGGTTACAGACTCACTGGTTCTTTGATCATGTGGTGATCAACTAGTTGTAAAACCTCGTGGTTACAGACTCACTGGTTCTTTGATCATGTGGTGATCAACTAGTTGTAAAACCTCGTGGTTACAGACTCACTGATTCTTTGATCATGTGGTGATCAATTAGTTGTAACTGGTTCTTTGATCATGTGGTGATCAACTAGTTGTATAACCTCGTGGTTACAGACTCACTGGTTCTTTGATCATGTAGTGATCAACTAGTTGTATAACCTCTGGTTACAGACTCACTGGTTCTTTGATCATGTGGTGATCAACTAGTTGTATAACCTTGTGGTTAGACTCACTGGTTCTTTGATCATGTGGTGATCAACTAGTTGTATAACCTCGTTGTTACAGACTCACTGGTTCTTTGATCATGTGGTGATCAACTAGTTGTAAAACCCTGTGGTTACAGACTCACGGGTTCTTTAATCATATGGTGAACAACTAGTTGTAAAACCTCGTGGTTACAGACTCACTGGTTCTTTGATCATGTGGTGATCAACTAGTTGTAAAACCTTGTGGTTACAGACTCACTGGTTCTTTGATCATGTGGTGATCAACTAGGTTACAGACTCACTGGTTCTTTGATCATGTGGTGATCAACTAGTTGTATAACCTCGTGGTTACAGACTCACTGGTTCTTTGATCCTGCGGAAATCAACTAGTTGTAAAACCTCGTGGTTACAGACTCACTGGTTCTTTGATCATGTGGTGATCTACTAGCTGTAACTGGTTCTTTGATCATGTAGTGATCAACTAGTTGTATAACCTCTGGTTACAGAGTCACTGGTTCTTTGATCATGTGGTGATCAACTAGTTGTATACTCTCGTGGTTACAGACTCACTGGTTCTTTGATCATGTGGTGATCAACTAGTTGTATACTCTCATGGTTACAGACTCACTGGTTCTTTGATCATGTGGTGATCAACTAGTTGTGTCACCTCTGGTTACATATTCACTGGTCCTTTGATCATGTAGTGATCAACTAGTTGTATAACCTCTGGTTACAGACTCACTGGTTCTTTGATCATGTGGTGATCAACTAGTTGTATAACCTTGTGGTTACAGACTCACTGGTTCTTTGATCATGTGGTGATCAACTAGTTGTATAACCTTGTGGTTACAGACTCACTGGTTCTTTGATCATGTGGTGATCAACTAGTTGTATAACCTCATGATTACAGACTCACTGGTTCTTTGATCATGTGGTGATCAACTAGTTTTATAACCTCTGGTTACAGACTCACTGGTTCTTTGATCATGTGGTGATCAACTAGTTGCATAACCTCTGGTTACAGACTCACTGGTTCTTTGATCATTTGGTGATCAACTAGTTGTATAACCTCTGGTTACAGACTCACTGGTTCTTTGATCATTTGGTGATCAACTAGTTGTATAACCTCATTGTTAGACTCACTGGTTCTTTGATCATGTGGTGATCAAATAGTTGAATAACCTCTGGTTACAGACTCACTGGTTCTTTGATCATGTGGTGATCAACTAGTTGTAAAACCTTGTGGTTACAGACTCACTGGTTCTTTGATCATGTGGTGATCAACTAGTTGTAACTGGTTCTTTGATCATGTGGTGATCAACTAGTTGTGTAACCTCGTGGTTACAGACTCACTGGTTCTTTGATCATGTGGTGATCAACTAGTTGTATAACCTCTGGTTACAGACTCACTGGTTCTTTGATCATGTAGTGATCAACTAGTTGTATAACCTCATGATTACAGACTCACTGGTTCTTTGATCATGTGGTGATCAACTAGTTGTATAACCTCATGATTACAGACTCACTGGTTCTTTGATCATGTGGTGATCAACTAGTTGTATAACCTCTGGTTACAGACTCACTGGTTCTTTGATCATGTGGTGATCAACTAGTTGTATAACCTCTGGTTACAGACTCACGGGTTATTTGATCATGTGGTGATCAACTAGTTGTATAACCTCTGGTTACAGACTCACTGGTTCTTTGATCATGTGGTGATCAACTAGTTGTAACTGGTTCTTTGATCATGTGGTGATCAACTAGTTGTATAACCTCTTGGTTTCAGACTCACGGGTTCTTTGATCATCTCACTGGTTCTTTGATCATGTGGTGATCAAATAGTTGTATAACCTCTGGTTACAGACTCACTGGTTCTTTGATCATGTGGTGATCAACTAGTTGTGTCAGCTCGTGGTTACAGACTCACTGGTTCTTTGATCATGTGGTGATCAACTAGTTGTATAACCTCGTGGTTACAGACTCACTGGTTCTTTGATCATGTGGTGATCAACTAGTTGTATAACCTCGTGGTTACAGACTCACTGGTTCTTTGATCATGTAGTGATCAAATAGTTGTATAACCTTGTGGTTACAGACTCACTGGTTCTTTGATCATGTGGTTATCAACTAGTTGTATAACCTCATGGTTAGACTCACTGGTTCTTTGATCATGTGGTGATCAACTAGTTGTATAACCTCATGGTTAGACTCACTGGTTCTTTGATCATGTGGTGATCAACTTGTTGTAAAACCTTGTGATTACAGACTCACTGGTTCTTTGATTATGCGGTGATCAACTAGTTGTATAACCTCGTGGTTACAGACTCACTGGTTCTTTGATCATGTGGTGATCAACTAGTTGTATAACCTCGTGGTTACAGACTCACTGGTTCTTTGATCATGTAGTGATCAAATAGTTGTATAACCTTGTGGTTACAGACTCACTGGTTCTTTGATCATGTGGTTATCAACTAGTTGTATAACCTCATGGTTAGACTCACTGGTTCTTTGATCATGTGGTGATCAACTAGTTGTATAACCTCATGGTTAGACTCACTGGTTCTTTGATCATGTGGTGATCAACTAGTTGTATAACCTTGTGATTACAGACTCACTGGTTCTTTGATTATGCGGTGATCAACTAGTTGTATAACTATGTTAGTATTAGTACCTGTGGTTGTTGCACGGACAACTTATATAATATGTCCCCTGAACTATAATGATGACCACATAGTTAACAGGCCACTACAAAACTGCTGCTAGACAGCGACCTTCATAACTATTTGAAGGAGGAAACAAAAATCTAAAATGTACATGTCTGTTATTTAATTCTTTTTTTTCCACAAAATATAGGTAAACCTACCCTTTGTACAAACCCCAAAGCCTGCTCCAACATAAGGCATGGCCTATATGTTCTACACTCATTGTAGACAATTAATACATAGTCTGATGTGCACAACGAGGTATGCTAATACCACATATTCATATTGTATACACTGACCTAACAAGGTCATGGGAGTTTACTTCTAACAAGAACATGGTCTAAAACACTCGTTGAGAAACAATGTTTGAACACTTTAAGGTTTCCATTTAATTTCATTTTTCAGTATTTGGTACTTCAAAAAGCATCATATGAAGTTTTAAAATAAGTATGTTGTTCCTTAACATGTTAAAACAAGGTAAAAGGTTCATATTACAAGAAATAAACATTTTAAAACAAAATTATGATTACAAATTGAAAACTTAATTCATTGATTCTTTTGTCAATGGACAGACAAGTTTTTGCTTAAATACTATTTTAAGGACCACATATGTTCACGTCAAAACAGTTCAGTATAGAGATAGAGATAGCTATTTCTTATTCTTAAGTCCTCTGGAAGGGAGTTTTTGGTAATCATTCTGTAATTTTGGCCTTAGAAATATTGTTTCCAATGAACAACTATTTATTTTGTTGTGGCCTAACACGGAAAATCAATTCATTTCATTGACCATGTTCATTATTCCTGCTTTTCAAACATTAAATTGTTCGTTCCTGCCACTAAAATGTAACATTATCCATATTACTGATGTTAAACATGATTACTGACATTCTTTGACCCTGGATTTCAACCCTTCTACCAGCTCCTTAAAACAAGTGTAAAAGTCCACAGGTTTGTGAATATGAAAGTCACTGAGATGCTGCAATCTCACTCTAGCTCTATCCAGTCTCCCCAGCTGAGTGTTACTCCCAGTCTGTGACGGACAAACATCATGCTGAAAACAGCTCACAGTGTCTACACCAGCCACTGTAATGGGTGGCACAGGAGGGTTTGCAGCAGACGGCGCACAGCTACCACAATTCATGATGTCTCCTGCTACAGTTACAGGTGTGTCAGCACTACAGACATGATCTTGTAACAGCTTATGTTCAAAACCATGTTCATGTTCCAGTGGCACTGATGGCCTACTGGTGGTGGGGGTTGTTGAAATGGTCACGAGAGAGTTATGAAAGCTTGTCTCTGATTGGGTTGTCTGCCTCAAGTTTTTAACTTGTTCTTCACGGCTTAATTTCTTTTGGCACAACACCCAACTGTCTGACCCTGACTGAGCCCCATCTGTGACACTCTCAGCAACATCATCACTGCTTGTGACACATACAACGCTAGTCTCCATCACAGCTCTGTCGCCCTGCACGGCCAGCTTCCCTCTCTCATACCACAACACTTGCTTCTTGACACGCTCTGATCGGATGGACAGACTTCTCTTCGCACCTCTGTGTTTTGTATGAACACTGACCAGTATGACCTCACCATCCTCCCCATCTGTCTCGATATCGTCACACACGACACCATCCTGTCCCTCTACCTCGCTGTCATCACACATGTCACCATCCTGTCCAGGCACCTTTATTCTGTACAAACCTTCATTTCCCGATGTCTTCTGCAAGTGTCCACAGTCACCAACATGATATTCCCTGTGTCTGTTTAGTATCTGATGGGCAGGAGGTTGACATCCTTGCATCTGCCTGTCTCTCCTTCCAGCAATACCCTGCTGGTCCAAGTAGGCCTCAGCCCGGTGCCTGAGATACACAGCACAGGCTCCACATGGATCATCAGAGGATTTCAGGTGTAGAATCACTGCTTGGTCTGCCTCCAGAATGCCAGCATTGGTCAGGAGGTTACCAAGGTGATGGTTGTCAAAATGCACCAATGGGCATCCTCCTTGCTCTGCTGGACCAAGTTGGCGTCTCTGTAAAATACAATGCAAACATTCAACCTCATTTGTGTTCTGTGTTACTTCATTGTGATGATCAAGATCCATTTCTAAACCACAATCAAACTAAAACCAGCTAAAAAGCTGATTTGTGTTTGTCACACGATCTCATGCATTGAGTCAGGCAAGTCAGGCATGTGCTTTCTCCAACCCTGACACCACTACAGTATGGAACACCACCTGTACTACAGCACTGCAGTACAAAAACAATCAACTTGAAACAGCAACAACTAATCACTAAATATTTAAATGTAACACCAATGAACCCATTCATATTCAATATTCAAAATTTCAATTTCAGATATAACACAGTAAACATATTGTAGTTTTTATTATTCCTGTTGCCAAAGCAACATAATTATGAAACACCCCTGTTACTATTTATTTCATAGCACAATGAACAAGGTTGTCAGCTTCATCTTCCTGAGGCAAGGGCGTCAACTGACTATAAAAGTCCAGTTTCCACCCTTGCTGAACTCTGCTGGAATTCTGGTGTTACATTTTGGCTGGACCAGAGGTCTATACATAGTCCAATCAAAATCATGTAATGAACTAGACATCCAGTTTGTAAACAACATGCATTACAATGTGCAGATTTCGGTCGACTGTAGGATCATGTGTACAGCAACTGGGTGTCGAAAGATATTTTCCATATCTTTCATGTTTTTAATCAAGATGCTCAAGTGATATGATACACTTCGCATATGTAAGACCTGTTTTATTACAATATAGATCTTGGTTATTGATCAGATTGTCTTGACTGGGCGCCACCATTTTGTTTGAAACAACTGCAAGTGATATGAGAGATGGTCAATAGGGGGACATAAAAAGGATAAAATCATAACACTATTAACAGCCACTGGTGGTGCTACAATCAAACCTGGAAATTCAAGCCTAGTTCGGCAAGGGTGGAAACTGGACTCTTAGTTTATGCCCTTGGCTTGGGAAGATGGCTATTTTCGCTTCTCCGACATATGGGGGATGTCAGATTCTTACTTTGAAGTTGCAGTTTAAAAGCAACCATGTTTGTGGGGGATCTATCTTCTTTCCGTCTCACCTGAAGTGAAGCACAGCAGTGTCCGCGGTAGTTGCGACGAGCACCCTCCAGGCCGTACAGGTGTCTGATGCTGTATGTATATCTGCACTCATCAGCCTGCCAGCTGTGGAGACCCGTCCCGGGGACATGACTTGGCTGTGAGTACTCCTGCTTCCACAACTTGATGGCCTGGTGCACAGGCATCCCCACCTCCTTCAGGAACAGGCTGTACTGGACCTACACAACATGGGGAGGGGATGGTTATGCCAGTCTGCAACATCACACATAGTTACCCACAGAAAATAATGGAATGATGTCTATTCCTATACAGGTTGACACACATTCATGTTTGGATTCTGTGAGCAGTATGTGGTAAACATCATGCTAGATATCTGTGATGAGTAGTCAGGCCTGGGTGAGACAAACTTGTCACTGATCACCATCAGCATCCTCCACACCCTGAGATAATGAAGACAGCCAAGCCAGGTCACCCTGAAATAATGAAGACAGCCAAGCCAGGTCACCCTTAGATAATGAAGACACACAAAGCAAGGTAACCCTGACACATAGAGAAAACCTTTTAACATTTTTCTTCCCCACCAAACTCACATAATTTTATTGCCCATGATAACCTACAGGTGAAGAAAAACGCCATGTATCTTCCCTTCTGTCTTTACTTGATGAGATACACCATTGCACATGTCTTACTAAACATTCATGCCTCTTTTGTCATTAAGTAACCATGGTAATGTGATCAGATGTTATTGTTAGTAAGTCTGCTTCACACTAGTATATTTAATAATGTGAACCCTAGTCCTTGTACTTAACTTGAAATAATTAAATTTGTCAGGTCTGACAACAATCAGCATGAGTCCATATACACATGATATAAGAAGTTTGTGACAGGAAACTGCATATTCATCAGTGCTTGACATTACAAAAATGTGTCCTTGCTGGAAAAAGTCTCGTCAAACACATCTTTTTACAGTTAAAATAAAATATAAAATAACTCCTGTCACCATTGTATATTGTGGTCAATAATAAACCAGAGCCAATTTCACAATTCAGGGGCAGAATAGGTGGCCATTACCATGAATACTGCGTTCTTGTTTAGTTTAGAAAAGAGACAACTAAGATGTGGATCATGTGGTCACAGTGTGAGCTGCTGCAGCGTTTTAAGGCACTCTCTGTGTTGTAACCACCAATCTCACCAATCTCATTCTCATTCAGACACGACCCGTAATGGGATGTCCTCAGATATTGTTTATGCGGTAGCAAGAACTGAGGTCTGATTTTACTGAGATTGCCATCCGGCCTGGCATAAACACCTTAAAAACATAAATCTATCAATAATTCAACTTCAAGACCAACCTTACTGATATCTCAGCAGTGAGCAAAACAAGGTTAACACTAAATGTTGGATAATATTTACACAAAGCATTTCCCCATGCAATACTGATTCCCAGTGGTGGTCTACTGATGAAAGATGTGCCATTGTTTCAACAGTGGCAATGATTCTACAGAGATCCCATACCCTGTCATTGTGTTTGAGTCGGTGGTTTGTTCGCAGTGCTTTGTGAAGGCTGGACATACAGAGAGGAAACATGTACTCCGACTGGTCCACTTGATCATGTGACAAACAGGACAGATTGTTCCAGTTCAGTGAAATGGGAACTTTTGCTCTGTAAATAGACTAGTAGAACCTTCATTCAATTAATGTCCACATCAAATTTGTATCAATCAAACTATATATTCAGTTAAAAGTGTTGAATAATGTGTTGATCTATGAAACAAATTAACTCACAAACTGCTCCCTGAAAAGTCCATGAACATACAATTTCCACTGGAAAACTGCTTTACAATGTCTAATGATAAATATTAAAATGTTACAATAATCAAATGATGTTTCTTCATCAGCAGATTCTTTTTCTCAGGCTTAGGAAAATGTTGTGAACTCTATTATTTGTTGTCACTGTAATCAAATACCCTGTATAAACTCAAGGGTATCAATTCACGATACTGTTTCGGTCTGTATTGGCCAACTGTACCTTCAACATCTTTGCACATCTCTTCATCCTGACATCCTGCAGTGCAGCTCTTCTTGCCTTGCTTGCTTGTTTCAAGGTTAGTTGTAATACTGACCTGAACACTCCAGTCAACACTTCATCGAGGTTGTCATAATGCACCATTGCCATTCCCCTGTGCAACACAACATTTCTGTTGGTAACAAGGGAGGTAACGGCTTGGAAGGGCACCTGAAAGTACTGAACATTCCTCCCGGTCATGTACTGGTTGGCAGCATTCTGCCATGTTCCTGCCGACTGTTTGATCGCCTGGAGAATACTTACAACATGATGGATGTCTGCTTCATTGTATGTTGCTGCACATGGTTTTTCAGTGGTTTGGACATGTTTTGTTGTCGATTTTAAAAGCCTGTAAATTTCTTTTTCTGTAAGACAGGAAAATCGAAACTGGAACAGCTGAGTTTCTGCTTGCAAGAAAAAATCTGTGGTTTCTTGATCAGCAACAAATAGAAGTCTGAAATGGAAGGAAACTAATGTTGAGTGACACGTACACAGACCATGATCACGTGTCACTTGGCCCATGTTGGCCAGCTGGGCTTGCTTGGAAGGATCATGTGTTTGTAACAAAAATCTTTTCACAATTATATTAAAACTAAATTAATACGTGACCAAGTAAACCATCAAATGTTATGATACCTTAATATAAAATGTGAAATATTATCCTTCTGTGTTCCCTCTATCAAACAGTCGGAGTCGGCTACTGTCTGAAGGTTGTTAGCGATATCAACAAGTCGAAGGCGATCTCCTCCTGCCTGGTGAATTTTTAGTAAGAACTCCAATCGATTCACAGCAAACGTATGCAGTTTCTGCAGTGAAACATGGCCAGTCGTTGGTCGTAAGTAGAACGCCATGTGTGTCAATGACAAAATAGCGGTTTATCAAACATCTGTGCTTGAAATGTCCCATTTTGTTTTCACACTGTATCGAAGACAACTCCCACAAGTGAAGTTGTATTTGCCGCTTTCTATGACTTCCGGTTGATAGTAAAAAGTCCGGACTTTATTTTCTAAAACCGGACTACCCGGAACCGGACCAACAAATCAGTGAAAATGCTACAGCAGATGATCATGGTGCAGTTAACTGACAAGATCATTGGAACATTAATTTTTCCTGGGTAAAGGTATAAATTGGGGTTATATCAATTCATTATAGTCTAGTCATTTCTTAATGTTTAAATCATTCACAAGATGTTTCTTATGAAATATTTATATTGGTTTGTGCCTTTGCACATTTTTGTTGGTGACTGACCAACTGAGTGCATAGATACAGGTGTCACATTGATGGTAGAGATGGTTGATTGATCACAACAAGGTCACATCAGGGCCAATGCATTTGAGATGTGTGTGTTTCTTGTATCATTGAACATACTAGATGGCATTTAACCTTGAAATGTCACCATCATCAAGGTTTGACATCATGTATTAATGTGCAAACAGTGCGAATAAATCCATGGTTTGGATGCAGAAAATACATAACCTCAGTCCTGGGAAACACCAAAGATTAAACACTCTACATTATATTCATTAAAATGCATTTACAGTATTTGCCATATAAAGAGCCTCTGACCAACTTCTTCACCAATATGTAATCTTCATAAGTGCCCTACTCAGACCAAAAGTTCAATGACAGTCCATATTTTCTTGTATATTAGATTTTTAACTGAAAACAGGGTATATTGTTGCCAAGCAACTACTATTGAAAAGTTTTAGTTTCATCAAAGTTTGTTGACCGCCACTCAATCTCTAATCGATATTAAATTTAATCTGTTGTGAATGCTTTTAACAGACTCCCCCTTCTGTTACTTTCCTAAGAGCCCAGGTTGCTTATTAAGGTAACTATAGTAAGTGTGTTGTGAAAGGTCCCAATCTCCTTATTAACACATTTAGTAGTTGTGATGGAATGTGGTCCAATTAACTGCATGAAAGTCAGAAATCTGTGACATTAAGCCACGATGGTCAGGGAGAATAGGTGGAAGGATGACTATGTACTGTAAACATGACTCCTTAGCGTATCTTAGGCTTCCGTTCCACCCACATTGAAACTGAGACGAAAAACAACCATGTTCACCCAGCAGTGAATGGCTACCCAGTAGGATCAGATGCCTCTGATGGTAATGCGACTGTCAGCCTTCTGGCACTGCACACATAATGTAGCACCTTGTGGCACCATGAGCATTCACTTGCTGTATGGACTTGCACATAATAAATGGAATTATTATATTTTTTAAACAAGGTAAGTTATACTATGTAAGTTATAGTGTTATGTCATTATGTAGTATGGCAAGACCTTTGTACCTCTCATCAGGACTCTTAAAATTACTGGGGATCCTCTGGTCTGTTATGTTTAAGAGTCCAACCAAAACCCTCCATCTTAAATATTGTACATTAAAATATGGTGTAATTTGTTTGTTGACTTCTTCATGTTTTATCCATGAGAGGGAGGCCAAAGCACCAAGATTTGCTGTCGAACTGTTAGTTTCAGGCTCCTCTGACAGTAGGTTTGAATCAAGACTTATCCTGATTGAGATCCTTGGTTTGTCAACACCAAACACATGCTTTTAGGTTTCATCAAAGTGGTAAACTTCTACGACTGTCCCTTGTGACTTGTTGTTTGTTGTTTAACACTACACTCAGCAGTATTCCAGCTATATGACAGCAATCTGTAAATAATCAAGTCTCCACCAGACAATCAAGTGATTGACATCATGACCATAGGTAACCGCAATTGGGATACGATGACATGCATCAACAAGGTCAGTGAGCCTGAACACCCGATCCCATCAGTCGCCTCTTACGACAAGCATAGTCGCCTTTCACTACTACATTAAGCCAGCTCCCTGTCATGTAACTGAAATAGTGTTCAAATCAAACTCGTGCAAATGTAATGGAAATGAGAACAGCTGAGAGAATCTACAAAAGTTGAAAGATTTGAATCCAAGTTGCACCTGGTTGGTACGTAAGTATGCTACATGATCTGATGAGTTCCTACACAGTGGTAAACCAGTAGGACCTGCAGCTGTCACTCGGGGGCCTCCCTCCCATTACACCATGATACAACTGACACACTGTTCAAGGTGGTGTCCACCTCACTCCAACATAAAGAAATGTTTGTTTCCTCAAGGAACAAACTGGCTTATATGAACACCACCACAGAGAAGCTTGTAGCATTAGCTGTGTATTGTCTGTTGCTTTGCCATTCAATCTGTGATGATACATGGATGAAACAGTCCTTCCTCCAGTCCGTTTTCATGACAACAGACAAACAAAAACTTTGTTTGCATTTATTATCACAAAATAGTAAAATATACAGTTCTTCTGAATATTGTACAAAACTCACTTATGCCTTATAAATGAAATGAGTTGAATGTATTGCACATGAAAGATGTACGGCATGCTATGATACCTTGTGCGCAACACAACACAGAGACAGATTGACTGCTACGGGGAGATGCTGCCCATCTGCTTACACAGAAGCAATAGAAACACTGACATGAGTCCTTAGGCACAGAGGAACATGTTCCATACGCAAGTGTTCCCAACAAGATCATGGTAGCAAATTGATTGTGTTGTATCTTCTTTTCACCTTTAACATGAATATCTAGTTTTTGTGTAGATAAAATTCCTGCTAGAAATTGATATGTACAAGGTAAAACAATCTATTGGAGATTTGAACATAAATTGTTCTACAAAAACTAAAAACCTGAATTAAAGTTGGTAATTTGGTCCAAGTTGTATGAGAAAGTGAAAATCAGATTGTGCTCTATTCCTGGAAAGTGACATGATGCTGTAAGTGCAGCTGAAGTTATCCTTAAAGAAAGCATAGTGAACATGCAGTGGCAATAAGAGGAAGTGCTCAGAATAGATGCTTTCATCTATGAAACCAGTTTTAAACTTGACAACTGTAATACAATTAAGAATCTTCTGGTCCTCGTTCCAGAAAGCAATCTTAGCGATTTAATGATTGTAAGTCTATGTTAAAGTAGGGAGTTAAGATCACCTAAGCGATAAGATAGCTTTGTGGAACAGGGTCCAGATGGATTAAACTGTGTAACTGTTATAGGCTTCTCCACCTGAACTATTAGACATTTGTATATCAGTCAGACTGTGTTTGTTTGAGGTCACTGTCGATAGTCTCAAACAAACACCTTCACTGTTTCGAACATTCACAGGAAATAAACAGACAATGAAAAATAAAAGCTATTGTCAAACATAACAACTAAAACTTTCATCTAAAATGTATCCTTACTGATTCAAGTCTGCTAAAATTAATAATACTATCACAAATTAAAATGCAACATTTCTAGTTCATTTATTAAAATCATACCTACAATATCTTAACAGATTGATCATAAAAAAACATAACAGTTCCTTGCAGATTTTATCTATTCTTCATGACTTGTAATATAAGAAATTCAGCACCGATGTCACAGCGATGAGGGTTAGCATCGGACTCCCTATGTATTTCAAACTCGAGATAATATTGATAGCTGCTCTAGAAAAGTAGGTCACATGACTTCACTTTTTCAAATAGGATAAATACATTCAACTGAAAGCGCAAAAACACCTAAAACACTATATATCCCTGGATGATATAACCGCCTTCTGATACATGTATGTCATTATTGTATATACATAGCCCTGATTAGCAGACACACACACACGCACACACACACTCTCCCTGCCACACAGTACCTTCTACACATCTATGGTATAAACAATGACTGATGAAGAGAGGGCATGACCATGATATATACATCAACAATTGAAGGCAGGGCAACACACACAATATATACAATGACAGATGAAAAGAGGGCAACACACACAATATATACACCAACAGTCAAGGGAATGACACACACGATATATACAATGGCAACTAAACACAGCTAGGTAGCCTAGCAAGTTTAAGTACAATATTCAGAGTCATCATCTTTCTTGTAGGCAGATGGAAATCGGTCCATGTATTTTTTAATGTAGTCTTTTGCCTTGGCCTTGACATTCTCATTGACTTCGAGGTCTTCCACGTGACGACAATGTTTCAGCTCTTTCGCCATTACGTGATGTGTCAGCTGAAATGAGATTTTGGTATGATAAGCTTCAGTACATTTCAGCCAGAGTGAATAATGATCTTGAATTTATAATGCTGTTGGTCCCACTGAAAGAAATTATCAGTGTAGCAGGAAATGAATCTTCGTGTGAATGTGGTTTTATGTCACAAGATAATTTCAGCTGTATCGCAACTGCCTGTACTTTTATCTAGACCTAACAAACAAGTGACTCCAAGCGTGAGTAACGATCAGGGTCATCATGACCGCCCATTCCATCTCGGCCAACACTTATAATAACATAGGTTGTGGGGGAACAATTCTACCATGCATTACCCATGGTGAGACAAATCTACTAAAACTCACTTAACACTTTTCTGAATTTATTCATGAATGTGTGAAATATTGCAAGTGTACCCGAGATGTGCTGTTATTCATGTACGCCACGCCACGCCACGCCACGCCACGCCACCGAAGGTTGACTGTGCAATGTGTGTACCGAGGGTTGACTGGGCAATGTGTGTATCGAGGGTTCACTGGGCAATGTGTGTACCGAAGGTTGACAGAGGGTTGACTGGGCAATGTGTGTACCGAGGGTTGACTGGGCAATGTGTGTACCGAGGGTTGACTGGGCAATGTGTGTACCGAAGGTTGACTGGGCAATGTGTGTACCGAGGGTTGACTGTGCAATGTGTGTACCGAGGGTTGACTGTGCAATGTGAGTACCGAGGGTTGACTGGGCAATGTGTGTACCGAGGGTTGACTGTGCAATGTGTGTACCGAGGGTTGACTGTGCAATGTGTGTAACGAGGGTTGACTGGGCAATGTGTGTACCGAGGGTTGACTTGGCAATGTGTGTACCGAGGGTTGAGCGAGGGTTGACTGGGCAATGTGTGTACCGAGGGTTGACCGAGGGTTGACTGGGCAATGTGAGTACCGAGGGTTGACCGAGGGTTGACTGTGCAATGTGTGTACCGAGGGTTGACTGTGCAATGTGTGTACCGAGGGTTGACTGGGCAATGTGTGTACTGAGGGTTGACTGGGCAATGTGTGTACCGAGGGTTGACTGGGCAATGTGTGTACCGAGGGTTGCCTGGGCAATGTAAGTACCGAGGGTTGACAGGGCAATGTGTGTACTGAAGGTTGACTGGGCAATGTGTGTACCGAAGGTTGACCGAGGGTTGACTGTGCAATGTGTGTACCGAGGGTTGACTGTGCAATGTGTGTACCGAGGGTTGACTGTGCAATGTGTGTACCGAGGGTTGACTGTGCAATGTGAGTACCGAGGGTTGACTGGGCAATGTGTGTACCGAGGGTTGACTGTGCAATGTGTGTACCGAGGGTTGACTGTGCAATGTGTGTACCGAGGTTTGACTGGGCAATGTGTGTACCGAGGGTTGACTGGGCAATGTGTGTACCGAGGGTTGACCGAGGGTTGACTGGGCAATGTGTGTACCGAGGGTTGACCGAGGGTTGACTGGGCAATGTGAGTACCGAGGGTTGACCGAGGGTTGACTGTGCAATGTGTGTACCGAGGGTTGACTGTGCAATGTGTGTACCGAGGGTTGACTGGGCAATGTGTGTACTGAGGGTTGACTGGGCAATGTGTGTACCGAGGGTTGACTGGGCAATGTGTGTACCGAGGGTTGCCTGGGCAATGTGAGTACCGAGGGTTGACAGGGCAATGTGTGTACTGAAGGTTGACTGGGCAATGTGTGTACCGAAGGTTGACCGAGGGTTGACTGTGCAATGTGTGTACCGAGGGTTGACTGTGCAATGTGTGTACCGAGGGTTGACTGTGCAATGTGTGTACCGAGGGTTGACTGTGCAATGTGAGTACCGAGGGTTGACTGGGCAATGTGTGTACCGAGGGTTGACTGTGCAATGTGTGTACCGAGGGTTGACTGTGCAATGTGTGTACCGAGGTTTGACTGGGCAATGTGTGTACCGAGGGTTGACTGGGCAATGTGTGTACCGAGGGTTGACCGAGGGTTGACTGGGCAATGTGTGTACCGAGGGTTGACCGAGGGTTGACTGGGCAATGTGAGTACCGAGGGTTGACCGAGGGTTGACTGTGCAATGTGTGTACCGAGGGTTGACTGTGCAATGTGTGTACCGAGGGTTGACTGGGCAATGTGTGTACTGAGGGTTGACTGGGCAATGTGTGTACCGAGGGTTGACTGGGCAATGTGTGTACCGAGGGTTGCCTGGGCAATGTGTGTACCGAGGGTTGACCGAGGGTTGACTGGGCAATGTGAGTACCGAGGGTTGACAGGGCAATGTGTGTACCGAAGGTTGACTGGGCAATGTGTGTACCGAAGGTTGACCGAGGGTTGACTGTGCAATGTGTGTACCGAGGGTTGACTGTGCAATGTGTGTACCGAGGGTTGACTGGGCAATGTGTGTACCGAAGGTTGACCGAGGGTTGACTGTGCAATGTGTGTACCGAAGGTTGACTGGGCAATGTGTGTACCGAAGGTTGACCGAGGGTTGACTGGGCAATGTGTGTACCGAAGGTTGACCGAGGGTTGACTGGGCAATGTGTGTACCGAAGGTTGACTGGGCAATGTGTGTACTGAAGGTTGACTGGGCAATGTGTGTACCAAAGGTTGACCGAGGGTTGACTGGGCAATGTGTGTACCGAAGGTTGACTGGGCAATGTGTGTACCGAGGGTTGACTGGGCAATGTGTGTACCGAGGGTTGACGGGGCAATGGTGTACCGAGGGTTGACTGGGCAATGTGTGTACTGAAGGCGTACTGGGCAATGTGTGTACCGAGGGTTGACTGGGCAATGTGTGTACCGAGGGTTGACTGGGCAATGTTTTTCCGAAGGTTGACTGTGCAATGTGTGTACCGAGGGTTGACTGTGCAATGTGTGTACCGAGTGTACTGAGGGTTGACTGGGCAATGTGTGTACCGAGGGTTGACTGGGCAATGTGTGTACTGAAGGCGTACTGGGCAATGTGTGTACCGAGGGTTGACTGGGCAATGTGTGTACCGAGGGTTGACTGGGCAATGTTTTTTCCGAAGGTTGATTGTGCAATGTGTGTACCGAGGGTTGACTGTGCAATGTGTGTACCGAGTGTACTGAGGGTTGACTGGGCAATGTGTGTACCGAGGGTTGACTGGGCAATGTGTGTACCGAGGGTTGACTGGGCAATGTGTGTACCGAGGGTTGACTGGGCAATGTGTGTACTGAAGGCGTACTGGGCAATGTGTGTGTACCAAAGGTGAACTGGGCAATGTGTGTACCGAGGGTTGACTGGGCAATGTGTGTACTGAAGGCGTACTGGGCAATGTGTGTGTACCAAAGGTGAACTGGGCAATGTGTGTGTACCAAAGGTGAACTGAGCAATGTGTGTGTACCAAAGGTGAACTGAGCAATGTGTGTGTACTGAAGGTGAACTGAGCAATGTGTGTGTACCAAAGGTGAACTGAGCAATGTGTGTGTACCAAAGGTGAACTGAGCAATGTGTGTGTACCAAAGGTGAACTGGGCAATGTGTGTGTACCAAAGTAGACTGGGCAATGTGTGTGTACCAAAGGTGAACTGAGCAATGTGTGTGTACCAAAGGTGAACTGAGCAATGTGTGTGTACTGAAGGTGAACTGAGCAATGTGTACTGAAGGTGAACTGAGCAATGTGTGTGTACTGAAGGCGTACTGGGCAATGTGTGTGTACTGAAGGCGTACTGGGCAATGTGTGTGTACCAAAGGTGAACTGAGCAATGTGTGTGTACTGAAGGTGTACTGGGCAATGTGTGTGTACTGAAGGTGTACTGGGCAATGGGTGTGTATGAAGGGGTACTGCAATGAATGGGTTGTATTTCTGTAGTCCTCCTCACCTTCCTAGCCAGGTGCTTGAAGTCATCGGTTGAGCAGATTCTCCCTGCCTTGCAGTCTGGCTTGCGGTAAGGGTTGAGGCAGCTCACAATCAGCTGTGACATCTAGGAACAGCACAATCATGTATTACAACCAGCCATAGAGAGGTAGGTCTTTGGTGAAAGCTGACACCAGTTATCATCAAATGAAGTACATTCTAATGGTAGATGCCCTGTATTATTCTTGACACATCATAACAACATCTCACTGAAGTCTTTGTAAAGGTACACCTGTCAGCAGCTGCACGTGTTCGTGTATTGTGACAAACAAACAGTATCATGACTTACAGCAAGAAATAAAACAATTAATACCTTTTGTCTGAACTGGTCTTTGATCTTCTTGGCCACCTCACTGGACGTGTCAGCTGCGGCCGTGGTTGTCTTCTTTTTGGACGTCTGAATCAATAGAAAGCACAACGTAGCAACCATGAATAGGTGTACCCATCCATGACAGGTTCATTGACCCAGGCACTGAACACACACTAAATCATAACTGAGCTTCCATGTGCTGGTTCAAGACTCTGAACAGACACTGAACAGACACTAAATCATATCTGTGCTTCTATGTGTGGTTCCAGACACTAAATAGACACTAAATTATAATTGTGCTACATGCTGGTTTCAGACACTGAACAGATATTAAATAATAGGTGTGATGATACCTGACACTACATAGACACTTAATCGCCACTGTGCTGATATGTGCTGGTTCCAGACACTAAATCATTTCCGACAGTTCCAGACAATACATAGACACTAAATCATTGGTGTGGCGATACCCAACAGTTCCAGACAATACATAGACACTAAACCATTGGTGTGGCGATACCCAACAGTTCCAGACAATACATAGACACTAAATCATTGGTGTGGCGATACCCGACAGTTCCAGACAATACATAGACACTAAATCATTGGTGTGGCGATACCAGACAGTTCCAGACAATACATAGACACTAAATCATTGGTGTGGCGATACCCAACAGTTCCAGACAATACATAGACACTAAATCATTGGTGTGGCGATACCCGACAGTTCCAGACAATACATAGACACTAAATCATTGGTGTGGCGATACCCGACAGTTCCAGACAATACATAGACACTAAATCATTGGTGTGGCGATACCCAACAGTTCCAGACAATACATAGACACTAAATCATTGGTGTGGCGATACCAAACAGTTCCAGACATTACATAGACACTAAATCATTGGTGTGGCGATACCCAACAGTTCCAGACAATACATAGACACTAAACCATTGGTGTGGCGATACCCTACAGTTCCAGACAATACATAGACACTAAATCATTGGTGTGGCGATACCCGACAGTTCCAGACAATACATAGACACTAAATCATTGGTGTGGCGATACCTAACAGTTCCAGACAATACATAGACACTAAATCATTGGTGTGGCGATACCCTACAGTTCCAGACAATACATAGACACTAAATCATTGGTGTGGCGATACCCGACAGTTCCAGACAATACATAGACACTAAATCATTGGTGTGGCGATACCCAACAGTTCCAGACAATACATAGACACTAAATCATTGGTGTGGCGATACCAAACAGTTCCAGACATTACATAGACACTAAATCATTGGTGTGGCGATACCCAACAGTTCCAGACAATACATAGACACTTAATCATTGGTGTGGCGATACCCGACAGTTCCAGACAATACATAGACACTAAATCATTGGTGTGGCGATACCCAACAGTTCCAGACAATACATAGACACTAAACCATTGGTGTGGCGATACCTTACAGTTCCAGACAATACATAGACACTAAACCATTGGTGTGGCGATACCCAACAGTTCCAGACAATACATAGACACTAAACCATTGGTGTGGCGATACCTTACAGTTCCAGACAATACATAGACACTAAACCATTGGTGTGGCGATACCCAACAGTTCCAGACAATACATAGACACTAAATCATTGGTGTGGCGATACCCAACAGTTCCAGACAATACATAGACACTAAACCATTGGTGTGGCGATACCCAACAGTTCCAGACAATACATAGACACTAAATCATTGGTGTGGCGATACCCAACAGTTCCAGACAATACATAGACACTAAACCATTGGTGTGGCGATACCCAACAGTTCCAGACAATACATAGACACTAAATCATTGGTGTGGCGATACCCAACAGTTACAGACAATACATAGACACTAAATCATTGGTGTGGCAATACCCGACAGTTCCAGACAATACATAGACACTAAATCATTGGTGTGGCGATACCCAACAGTTCCAGACAATACATAGACACTAAATCATTGGTGTGGCGATACCCGACAGTTCCAGACAATACATAGACACTAAATCATTGGTGTGGCGATACCCAACAGTTCCAGACAATACATAGACACTAAATCATTAGTGTGGCCATACCCAACAGTTCCAGACAATACATAGACACTAAATCATTAGTGTGGCAATACCCGACAGTTCCAGACAATACATAGACACTAAATCATTGGTGTGGCGATACCCGAAAGTTCCAGACAATACATAGACACTAAATCATTGGTGTGGCGATACCCAACAGTTCCAGACAATACATAGACACTAAATCATTAGTGTGGCAATACCCGACAGTTCCAGACAATACATAGACACTAAATCATTGGTGTGGCGATACCCAATAGTTCCAGACAATACATAGACACTAAATCATTGGTGTGGCGATACCCAACAGTTCCAGACAATACATAGACACTAAATCATTGGTGTGGCGATACCCAACAGTTCCAGACAATACATAGACACTAAACCATTGGTGTGGCGATACCCGACAGTTCCAGACAATACATAGACACTAAATCATTGGTGTGGCGATACCCGAAAGTTCCAGACAATACATAGACACTAAATCATTAGTGTGGCGATACCCAACAGTTCCAGACAATACATAGACACTAAACCATTGGTGTGGCGATACCCGACAGTTCCAGACAATACATAGACACTAAATCATTGGTGTGGCGATACCCGAAAGTTCCAGACAATACATAGACACTAAACCATTGGTGTGGCAATACCTGACACTACACAGACACTAAATCATAAACTGCTGATACGTGCTGGTTCCAGACACTAAATAGACATTGAGTCAATGTGAGTGAAAGAGGGAGAGCAGTAAGTGAGGAGGAAGAGTCAATTACCTTCACTTCAGGTTCTTTCTCTGCTGGAGAGTCAACTTCCATGTTGTCTTCAGGCACCAGATCCCATGTTGGTGGATCCCACTGGGTTTGTCTGAAGGAGGAGTAAGTGCTCTTAGAAGCTAGTAACATACACCTGCAGGGCCAGCCTGTGTTTCACAAGATAGGGCACTTAACTTTCGAGTATGAATACTTAAGTGAACATTATCAATGCACATTCCATCCCTTTCACAGGCTTCATGAAAACAAATCTGTTTTGATACTTCAATAATTAAGGTACTCACTTTGTTTTTGAATGGTAGTAGTAGACGTTGCCCTCCTTGTCAGTGGCTGACTTCCATAGCGGGGGCAGGCCAGAGCTGTTCTTGGATGGAGGTGGTGGAGGGTCCTCTTCATCCTTCTGGGTCTGAGTCAGCGAGACCAGGTTCTGTTGGAGACTCAGCAGCTGTTGTAGCTGCTGCACCTGCAATATGAACAGTCAGTAGCAGTCACCTGAAGGACATGAAGGTCATAGACACAGTGACTGTTACACTGAGGCCAGCACTATTGCAGCCATATCATTGTAGCCTTACATACTTGCATTTGGACCAGTGGTGTTTTGTATCAATAACAATATAGTTGTCATGGGGGGTCTATTCTGTCCTTCCGCCACTGGGTCGATGCTGGGACCTACCTGCTCTACCACCATTTTAGGGTCAGCCACTGGGACAATGCTTGGCTGCACTGCTGTGCTGGGACCTATCTGCTGTGCCACCACATTAGGGTCTGCCACTGGGACAACGCTGGGACCTACCTGCTGTGCCACAACATTAGGGTCCGCCACTGGGACGATGCTTGGCTGTACAGCTGTGCTGGGTGTGCTAGCGTAGAAGACCTGCTGGGCCTGGATGGTTTGGTCGGTGACTGAAGCAACGCTGGACTGGGCAATCACACCAGCTGTAGCCTGCAACAAAACAATAAGCTTCGATATGAAATACTGCTAATTGCAACATATTGCTGACTGGAGATAATAAATATTCCCAGATTTTCAGTGTAGCTATTCATGATACTTATACACTGATAATAGGCTTGAGCCTCTGTCAGGTTTGGGGTAACCATCCTGGGCACACTAGCACAAAGCAATCTTAGCTCTAAGTCGAATGTAACTCCCATACTCTAACATAGACTAAGATAGTCATAGCGCCAAGATCGTACTGTGCAAGTGGGCCCTGGTGTAGAATACAGAAATTGACGCTATTGCTGTTTAGGGGGACATATATATTGCTTGATATTTTGTGGGAAACACTGCCTGCTTCTACATCCTCACCTGGTACTGCTGCTGTTGATACATCACCTGGGGTTGGCTGGGGTCTGCGTACTGCTGTGCCTGGCTGGGGTCCATCATGTTGGGGTAGTTGAGTACCGAAGCCACCCCCTCCATCCCAGGGTAATGACCTGTCAGCATACAATCCACAGTGAAGACTACATTACTGGTCAAACAAGATCTCACACTTACACACAGCTGCACAGCTATACACAAGACAAAAGTGGCACAGTATTTCATTTCTATTGACATAACTGACAATGACACAAAACAAATGATACTTGAAAAAGCTGCAGACAGTTGAAAATGAAGCTGAGCAGTGAAAATTATTGTGAAAATTGTAAGCTACGTCAATCCAGTATGTCCTATGTATGACCAGCAAACAAGTAAGCTTACAATGATGCAGTGGGTCATTGACATGTACAAACAAGACACGGTAAACAAAACTCCAACACAAGTCACAAGCCATCTCAAACTTCAGCCAGCCAGCAGCATATGCTTCCATGCATGCCAACACACACACACCTGCTTGGCTGGACCCAGTGTCAAGGTCGGCCATGTGACCTGCTGGAGGTGTTGTCTTGGTAACACTACCTGGTGGCATAGAGGGATCTTGTGTATATTGAAAGCTGGGATCCTGAGGTTGGAAGCTGGGGTCTTGTGGGAAACTGGGGTCTTGTGGGAAATTGGGGTCTTGCTCCTGCTGATAATACTGGGCCAGGTTAGGGTCATATCTTGGGTCGTAGTTGGGATTCTCTGCATATCTGGCTTGCAAGTACTCTTCCTGCTGTCGCCGTATCTCAGCATTCATCTCATCCTGAGCCCGGACTTGAGCCTCAAACAGCTGGCGCCTCTCCTCCTTGGTCATCTCTGGGGGAGTTGGCAGCAATGGCTTCCTGGAATGACACATCAACATGTGATCAGTGGAGAGAGTGAGTGAGGAGATGAGGGAGTGTCAATAGATCCTATAGAGTGAGGGGTTCATTGCTACTTTGACAGCAGTCAGTTTTAATGTTTAATGAGTAAGAGCTCAAGGCAGATGAGCACTGTGGCTTCTATACTGAAGTAATGTGACACAAAACTAGACTGCATCTGGAATTGAAGTCCACAATCAGATGAGGACGGCAAGAACATGTTTGTACAGGACGAGATAAGCAGAAGTAACTCATGGGCTACAATCCTTGCCCACCATACTTCACTGGGCATTCAAAAAATGATTTATATGAAGGTTTTTGATTGTGTTAAAACAACCATAAAAACACTTACCTGCTCCTGTAGGGGCTTGAGGTGTCATCTCGCCTCCGCTTACGCTTGGAGGGTGGCGCTAAATCAAGGAAAAGAAACATGATCATTGATTACTGTTTGTCAAAATAAACAAGAGAGAACAGGAAACTGGTCAAATGTTTGATGGCCATCAACTTTCTTAACTGACTACTTTAGCATTCTATTGAACATGACCTGTGTTCACGTTAACACATCTGATGTCTATACATTCAATGTAATAACTTACTTAATACTAATCAAATTAAAAGTTATCATCCAGAAACAGCTGACAACAGACAGATGGCCACAATCAAATCAGCTATACTGATAACTGTAATATAAAAAGACAAAGTAAGCAGTAAGTTACATATCAACTCACCTGATTTTCTATTTGACCGCTCAGTATACTGAACATCTGAAAAAACAAAAGACTATGATTTCAACCCAGTACATTAAACCAAGACTTCTCTACCTCATCAACTTCTCTTATCATAGTACATGCGTCATGTATCACCTGATTTCACCAGTTCTCACCTAGCTCTTTTTCTGTCCTCTTCCTCTCCTCATCTCTTTCCTTCTTAGGGATCTTGAAAAGCTCCTGCAAATACATTCATGTTGCCTTTAGTGACAGTCCTTCAAAGTACAAAACAAGCATAAGCAAGAGAATCTTAAATATTAATTTGAATCTTGAAGCATATTTATGCATCACCTTCAGGCCGCTCCACTGTTCCAAAAGCTCAATGGCCAGGATAGACAGACTTTTCTTCTCATCTCCCTCAAGTGCCTCACTCTGGATCTCCGCTGCCTCACTCTGGGCCTGCACCACCTCACTCTGGATGTCAGCAGCCTCATTTTGGGTTTCAGCTGCCTCATTCTGAGTCTCAACTGCTCTATTCTCGGTCTCTGCAGCTTCACTCTCAAGTTTGCTAGACGATGCATCAACCTTGACCTTGCTGTCACTGTCCGTGCTTGACTTTGAGGAGCTGTCACTGTCTGTGCTTGACTTGCTGTTGTCTTCACTGGGACTAATGACCATGTCTTTCCTATCACTCTCTAAAGGTTCAGATTCTTTTTCATCTCCCTCAGTATTTCCTTTCGCCTCATCAGTTTCCATCTTGTCTTCAGATATGTCCGTAGCACTGCTCTCTGCTTCAATAGAGATATTGACTTTGTCCTTCTCATCACTTCCCTGAGAACTATCTGCAGCATCAACCACAGCTGCCTCCTTCCCTGTTGCCTCAGCATCTTGCGGAGGTGACACAATCTTGGATTTTTCAGTTTCCCCACCTGCTTCTTTACCTTCAGATGAAAAGTCCACATACCCATCCGAATATGATATTTCTTTGAAAGAAATGTCCAAGAAGCTTCCAGTAGCTCCTGAAGAATCCGACCCAGACTCTGTCGCTGCTGTAGACTCCGGCTGAGTGGAAGTGATCTTGCTGGAATCAGAGATGTCACTATCTGAACTGGTGGCCTCATCAGCAAAGGTCACCTTCTTTTTCTTGTGCTTGTCCTTGCTATCTTTGGTGGATGCCAGGATAGAAACAGGTATTGAGGTAGTGGATGGGAGGGGGAGAACATCACTGTTGGTGTTAGAGTCTGCCTCAGACTTCACTGGCGTCGACTCCAACTCTGCTAGCTGACTCACAACAGTCAAAATCTTGCTCTCCTTTAAAACTGTTTTATTGTTGATGGGCAAGGACTTCAATGTGAACAATATCTGGAAAAAAAAAGAACCACATAAACAGTGTAAATATATTACCTGCACTTCTACACAATCTGAATTCATGAACACATGCACTACATTCAGGAAAACGAAAGCCAACATTTGTGTTGAAAACACCCACCAGGAACTTGAGCTCCTCATCCTCCTGAGACGAGTCAGCCATCCAGCTCCACAGCAGAGGCAAGCCATGGTAGTCAAGGAACAGTCTCAGACATGCTGGCTCCTGGGTGTCCTGCCACAAGCAAACATTCATTTGAACACAACCTGTCACATCAGTAACTTGTTTCAATATAACTGAACACATACTAGATGGTCACTGATTCATTATTACTGATGCTTCAGCGATGAAGATGTTCTCACCTGGAGTATCCTGAGGATGACCTTGCGGTGCTCACACTCCTCGACCTTGACCATGAGCCGACACAGGGACAGCACATGGTCCTTGTTCTTCAGGCCCTGTTGCTGCATGCGCTCCAACTCCTCCTCCAGCTGCAACCAGACACACATCATCAAACCCAGGAACATATCTGGCTATTGACAGAACACACACACCTTCTTTCTAGCCAAGAAACACCCCTGTCTATTGAACCAGGCCGACACACTATCTTACTAACCCAGAAACACTTCTGTCTCTTGACAGAACACACACACACACCATCTTACTTACCCAGGTATATGTCTGTCTATTGACACAAAGCAACCCTCAAATAGACCGGCTTATGAGGCTTACAGTGGACGAGCCTTTCCATCACTCCTAAGACAACTAAAGCAGGCAAACCCAAACTCTCCAGACTTTTACTTGGGTCAGTTTGCTACAACTGATCAGAATTCTCAAGTCTGCACAAACACTGAATAGTTCTCTAGTATTTGTAATTTGTGTTCACTTACTGATTCATCTTCAAACAATTCCTTCTTCTTCTTGTCAACAACCTTGTCCTTCTTCTTCTTCACAGGGGTTGCCTTGGTTGCACCGATGAACCCTCGGCAATTGTCAGACCCACAGTAACACTTCTGTGCATTCTCACTGAAATATACATGCAATATTCAAAGGTAAAACTACCTCCAGATTATTCAAGAATTAATTATTTATCAGTACCTGCTCAATGGATACCACTATTCTGTACTTGTTAGTATCACAACATAATGACACGTTTATACTTTTCCAGCAGAATTTACAGATGAATTAATGGCCATACCAACTAAGTTTAATGACAACCAATCCTTCAGGATGTGTAACTATCAAAGTTGAGTCTCACCCGTATCTCTCGAACTGGTAGTCAAAAGTCAGCTCCTCATCTGCTGCAATTGCCCGTCGAGTGAAGAACCCAATCCTCAGCTCACCATTCACCGTCCACTGTATTACACAGGACAAATAGACTCACATGATCCACTGCACACACATCTTGACTTAGTGGAGACAATGTTGTCTATGCTGACAAGTATGGGCCACAGAGGACCCTTTCAGACACATTAAATGATTAGTTTGCAGGTAGTCAATTATTGATGAAAGGGTTTGGGTAAGGCTAGTGGTAAAGTACAAAGGTCTGTCAGTCTATTCATGACTCACTATTCCAATTACATACACACTGAATGAAAGTTGTTCATCGCCACAGTCAGCATTATCCCTGCTGTATCATGTCGAGCTGTACATGAATTTAGACTGGGTCTGGCAAACCAGTGGTTGAACAACGATGTCGATAAAATTACACACACAATCAGCCAGATGATCATAACCAACTAACTGTCACACCAAGCATGGCGTTTGAGACCTATCTACACCAATCTCCTTACAGGCTTCTCAATAGTATTTATTGTCTGAGAGTCAGAGACAACACATAACCCTGCAAGCAGATTAACTACATCCTATACAAATGTAGCAGAGACATGCTCACCTTCTGCGTCTCACAGTTGGGGTCACAGCTGTGGTTGATGAACCTGGAGATGTTGCCCTTGTACGTGGCGTCTATCACCTCGTCTGCATTCAGGGCCATAAAGTAGAAGTGGGTGGTGCTGTTCTTAGCATACTGCTTGGTGCGGTTCTTGAACTGACGATAGTCCAGGACTTCACCCACATACTCCATCACAAAAGTGCTCCTGAAACATACACAATCATTAAAACCACTTGCAAACCAAACATAAATAGAGGATATTTCAAGTGTCAAGTGAAATATCAAGTTTCCCCTGAAAGAAACATGGTATTTAACAAGACACATGGAATATCCTATTTATCATATACTTCTTGTGTCGTTGTCGACTGAAATTTATTTTTCATTACAAATGTAAAAACCTTGAAATGTAAATTCTCCCTACCAACACACATGACGTTTCATCCCCCCATATAATTGCAACTTAAAAAATAGTTCCGAGTTCTCAAAATCTTAAAATATGTAAAAAAAAGTAATAAAAAATATTTGAGATCACTAAACTTTTTTATCATACATTTGGATATGATAATATTCAAAATCAGCTTCAACTAAAAATATTCTTGAAACCAACGAGACCGCTGTTGGAAGCGAAGGAATCCATGCTGGTCAAGTAAAACAATGACACTTTGCAAAATAAACAGTCTCGATTGATGAGTTCAATGAGAAATTTAGTTTATAACAAAACATTTTCAAGAAAATAACAAACCAGGTCAAGAAGCGATATTAACTCAATATTTGACTATCTGTTGTAATTTTGCCAAGGAAGCCAACAGTTTGTGTACGGGCCACACACTTACGATAAAGGCAGACAATTTGTGGGTAGGTAACTTTTGTATGACAACAGTTCTGTCAAAAGTGTTATGTTCACTGTAGTGAAATATCAAATGTTATGCTCACTGCAATAAAAATATCACTATCAACTTCAGAAAATGCATATCTTTCACACTCAAGCATAAAATAAAGATATCTATTTGACAAAATCTGCAGGTACATATATAACTACAGTAAACTGTGGTAAACTCAGAGGGACCACTAAATTTAGTTCGTAATTTTATAGTTCGTTATAAGCCTATACACAGCAAATGGACAGGACCAAAAAACATTTTGTTATATCCGTTTGTTTCTTATAAGCATGTTCGTTTTAAACATAGTTTACTGTAGTTGTAGTTTACTGTAGTTGATTGTTCAGTGACATTTTGTTACCTTTGGATGTTTATATGTTTCAGTTTGCTTTTGCAATATCTTTTCTCAACCAAAAACCCACAACAAAAATGTCCTTTTATTACAAAAAATGTTAAAAAGAAGATGTAAAACTGTTATGGTTTAATGAAATAAGGCTCGAGAAAAGATAACCTATAGTTTTAGTTCGTTCTTGATGTCAAAGCAGGAACCTTACAAGGTGGTGGTACTGATGCTCCAAGTTTGAGACAATAGCACTGTCAAATGTGTACTATACAGTGCACACTCCAGTGTTACAGGGGATCCTTTGGTCCAAAGGTTTTCTGCTACAGTATAGGAAACTAGGGACCCTCAAATCTTTACCTTTTAACATTATGGCAATGATAAGGACCTTTTGACTTTCATTTTGACTATTGACACTCAATACCAAACTAACAAAAGAGAATTATGAAAGCGAATATTCCAGTGATTTGCATAATTTATTAGATTCATAGCTCATTTAAATAACTTGACATGACACTGGGAACATGCCGAAGATTTTCCTGGCTCTCAGATGTATTACAACAAAGAACTTGTTATTTTTTTTCAAGCAATACTGTGCAATATAATTTATGTTTCCAAGCAACAGGCTTTAAAGGGAAGAGATTTCGAAAACAGTGATAACATATATATTAATAAATGGGGAATGGACTGCCTTGTTTATTGCTGTCACAGTAGAGTTAATAGTTATGAACAAGTTATCAAATCCCATGGGATGAAAACTGATAGAAATGTTATAGTTAGCAACAATCTCTCGCTTTCCCTAACTATGTCTTCTATATCATATTCTGATTCTATGATGTGGTTCAAATAATCACAAAATGCTGCTATACCCTTGAACTCAACTGTTAGGATTTCAACTATTCTTATAATTATTTGGATAGTGGAAAGTTACTATTTTCAATATAAATACAAGGGTTGGTGTATACGGCAGTTGACAGAACAGCATGGTGTTTACTCAGATCCTAGATCTACGTAGATCTTTGGTAAAACAATCACACAAAACATTTGTGCATGGAGCAAGATAATGCATCAAGTCTACTCTGGATGGACTTTGCCTGCATCCAGGGTAAGACAGTCAGACACAACTGTGGAGGTGCGTTTTGTAGAATGTACTTCCGTTACTGATAACGAAGAGGGCTACAATTGCTTGGCTGTGTCGTGTTGTGTGTATAGTGACCTCCTTTAGTCATTGCACCACTAGACCACGGAGGCGGTCAGTCATTGCATGAAGTGTTTGGTGTAGCAAATGCAGCACTCTTGCATGCGATACACTGATCACAAAGAGGGCTACAATTGCATGGCTGTGTCGTGTTGTGCGTATAGTTACCTCCTTTAGTCATTGCATGGGGTATTTAGTGAAGCAAAAGCAACAATCTTGCATGCGATACACTGATCACAAAGAGGGCTACAATTGCTTGGCTTTGTCATGTTGTGCGTATAGTGACCTCCTTTAGTCATTGCATGGGGTATTCAGTGAAGCAAATGCAGCACTCTTGCATGCAATACACTGATCACAAAGAGGGCTACAATTACTTGGCTGTGTCGTGTTGAGTGTATTGTGACCCTCAGTCATTGCATGGGGCATTCAGTGAAGCAAATGCAGCACTCTTGCATGCGATACACTGATCACAAAGAGGGCTACAATTACTTGGCTGTGTCGTGTTGAGTGTATTGTGACCCTCAGTCATTGCATGGGGTATTCAGTGAAGCAAATGCAGCACTCTTGCATGCGATACACTGATCACAAAGAGAGCTACAATTGCTTGGCTGTGTCATGATGTGCGTATAGTGACCTCCTTCAGTCATTGCATGGGGTATTCAGTGAAGCAAATGCAGCACCCTTGCACGCGATACACTGATCACAAAGAGGGCTACAATTGCTTGGCTGTGTCGTGATGTGCGTATAGTGACCTCCTTCAGTCATTGCATGGGGTATTCTGTGAAGCAAATGCAGCACTCTTGCATGCGATACACTGATCACAAAGAGGGCTACAATTGCTTGGCTGTGTCGTGTCGTGTTGTGTCGTGCATACAGTGAACCCTTTGAGTCTCTGCATGAAGTGTTTGGTGTAGCAAATGCAGCACTCTTGCATGCGATACACTGATCACAAAGAGGGCTACAATTGCATGGCTGTGTCGAGTTGTGTTGTGCTGTGCTTATAGTGACCTCCTTCAGTCATTGCATGAAGTGTTTGGTGTAGCAAATGCAGCACTCTTGCATGCGATACACTGATCGCAAAGAGGGCTACAATTGCTTGGCTGTGTCGTGTCGTGTTGTGTCGTGCATACAGTGAACCCTTTGAGTCTCTGCATGAAGTGTTTGGTGTAGCAAATGCAGCACTCTTGCATGCGATACACTGATCACAAAGAGGGCTACAATTGCTTGTTTCTGTTCTGTTAGCTGCGTACTCTTAAATGTATGCATACCATAGTACGGTTTTTGCTGTGGTGACCTTCAGGGGGTGTTGTGTTAAACACCATGCCAGCCATGACACACGACAATTTGTTTGGCCATGCTGAATACCTGCAACATGACATGCTACTTGATAACTGGGGAAACACCTGCTGCCAATGCTGTACTCAAACTGCTCAAACTATGTGTCTCATGTTATGATTTGCAAAATCTTTTTGGTATCAAAAATGTTTATTTTTTATTTTCATTGCCAATTTTCATCATAATTTTAAATGGTCAAATAATTCTGTTAAAATTTATCGTGACAAAAAATATCAAATACAAATAATATTTTGTAAAAAACTACTGTATTCGACGTAATAAGTGCCCCGGCGATATTTGCTAATATATTGGCTAGTGAACAATCCCAATTACGTTTCGTTTGTATCATTTCAGGCTGTCAGCATAAACTACGAAATTTACGATCTCTCAACTCTGTTTTTTCTCTCAACTCTGTTTTTCTCTCATCAAAATCATATTCTAATAAGAGCCCCCTATTTCTAATTTTTAGAGCGCCCCGGGCGCTTATTACGTCGAATACGGTAAATTATTATTATTATGATTTTCATGAAGATAACCATCATTAATGTATTGGTGACCTGCAAGTACAATTGTGCAAGAGTAAGATAATATATTTGCTTCCTCTAAAAGAACAAATCAAGAAATTGTACCTATGATTTAAATAGTTGGAAAATGCAGGCAATGCCAAGATACAACAGGTCATCACTTCAAGGTCACTGACAGCGTTACTAACCCACTTTGCCCTTGAAGTAGGAAAAAGTACATTCTCCTCAGGACAAACAACAGTTTGTCACAAGCATTCACTGAAGTTGGGCAACCAATTTTTAAAAACTAAAAGTAACTAAATTGGAACCTACAAGAAACGAACAACATCATTAGCCAGTGCAAACTGGGAACAAAATATTCACCACCACACACCCTCCCCTACCCCCCAAAAATAAAAATAAAACCGAAAAGTCGTCAGCTAATTTTAGTCATTTTGTTCTGGGATGGGGTAGTCTAGCAGTTAGAGTTTTTGCTCATTATGCCAAAGACCCCTGTTCATGGGTACAGTATGTGAAGCCCATTTCTGGTGTCCCTCGCCGTGATAATGCTGAATATTGCCAAAGCAGCTTGTGACCATATTCTGCAAAAATCATGGGTATGATAATTCTTCAAATGCATTCAACTTATTCTGATAAATAATAGGCCCCCCATCGTGAGAGACGGAACCCATATCAACTTACGCTTCCAGGTCTGCATTGGCCTTGAGGCCCCAGCCTTTACTTTCTGCATTGAAGGGATCAACATCCGCATAGATTTTCTGAAAACAAAGTATGTTGCATCTTTAGCATTACGAACTTACAGTGATACAGTATAACAAAGTTATATAACATCCTGACAATGCTCATAAAGTTTACTTATGTTTACACTGATGAAAAGAAAACTGAGACATGAGCCCTGTTACTCCCCTGTTTTGTGTACTTCCAACAAGATCTCTATAACTGGATAACATTTGAAACAAGTGAATGAAATAATCTTCTCTTCAATCTATTTTAAAATACCAGTTCAGTTTATGGTCTAGTAATGCAAGTCAAATTCAACCCCACAGTTTTGCAGCATATTCTTAACAACTGATTGTCCTCCAGAAACATTCCATAAAAATATATGTTTAAAAAGTTTGGAACAGATTATGACGTATTGGTAATGTTTTGTTAAAATAACTAAAATGTCCGTCTATAATGCACTACCAGAAATAGAGTTCCGCGACCTAATTGATTTTCACATAACCATTGATATCAAGAAATGTCACCAAGTCTTGTACCATTAAATCTGCCCAGACGAGTACTTGTAATGATACACAAGGGCTATTTTCATTGGCCTTTTTTCGGCCTGGAACGTAGTAGTAGCCATAACACAAGCAGTCAGTCTAAATATGATGAATCAAGTGTGATATAACTGATGATTGTGAGTGAAGACACTGGGATGATGTTCTCAAAACAATATCACAAAAATAAAATTCACGCTGAAAGGTTCAGCAAATGTCTATGACTTTGAATGCTAAATCACAACTAATGTGACAATAAATTCTTGACAAGGAATATAGAGGTCCTGCAATAAAAGTAATTATCAAAATGTTTAGTACACAACACCATTTCATTATTTTACAGGTCCTTCATATTTCCTGTAAGGACCCTTGAAATTTATTATTGGTGCTCCCCTGGCTCCCCACTATTCAAGTCCAACACTGAAGAGGTAAATGTACCTACCCTCTGGAACCTCTTGTTGTCACAATACTCAGCACAGGCACAACGGGAGCCACTGCAAGGTAGGGGCACAGTTAAACCAATAGTTCACTTAACACATATCAACACTATCATCGGTTTTATCTCCATTGTTTAACAATGCAATCAACAATATTCCAGCTATATCTTGGTGGTCTGTAAATAATTAATTACTGAAGGAATAAGCATTGTCCAAAGCAGTTGGGTTACAAAGACACTCAATCAACTACATCAAAGAGTCTGACCACCTGTTCCAATTTAGTTGCCTATTAAGACCAGCAATGAGGTGTTGGAGACCAACTCTAAATAATTTCAATATCTTATCAATTGTGGATGAAGGGTAAGGTCCCAACTAACAGATCACTAAGATTTACTTCCTGGACCAGGACATGGCCTGAAGTCGCTTGGTAGATTACTAACTGCTAAGATGCTACAATGTTGTATTTATACCTACCTGAATCAAAATTGAAATTGTAATTCAAACTAAATCAGTCTGACAATATGCGATGTAAGTTAATATGTCGAAAAAGTTCGAAGATCAACATGGCAAGCATTATTGATCATATGAAAGTCTCACCATTCTATCAGAAGCATTCTGTTGAGACAGTCTTCCCCACAAGCATCATATCCCATCTCTCGGTCCTCTCGAGAAGTGGTACAATCGCACACCATTCGACGCATACTCTTGGATTTCCGCCTACACAGGAAAACAAGATAAATGTCAGCATGAATTCATCATCAGAAACTAAAAAATATACCAAATCATCGCAGACTTTTCTTAGTTCAACTGGACATTAACAACAGGCCAATGGTATATTTGCATTCTTCTGCACCTCTTTCGGTTTTCAAATAAAAGCATGCCACTTAGCATATTCCTCAGTTCTTCTATATTAGAATGAACAAAAAATGTTGGGGAATATTTTCGGCGATACTTTTTGTTTATAGTGAAGCCTGAGTATGCAATTTCATATGCAATATCCCCCCAAATATTCATGACCTTAAATAGCTCACCTTTCAGTGAGGTAGATGTTTTCATCCACCGGCTCAAAGTAGGGGTATGTTTTTGATTCCTCATTCACCTCCTCTGGTTTCTGCTTCTCCACAGCTTCTTTAAGCAGCTTTGTAGGCTCTTCCCCTGGCATCACAATTGTCCCCAACGAAACTGATGTTGATTCAGCTTCAAACCCTGACAGTTTATCGACACTTGTTGGCTTTTCTTCCATACATACATTATCAGGCAATAATGCATTCTGGTTGAAATTGTCCTCTACCAGATCCGTTTCACATTTAATTTTCCCTGATTCATTTGTTGGGACTGTGGTGTTGACTGCCACAAGAACTCGAGAGGCTAGGTTCGGAGAAAGGAAGGCTTCCCCTGGTACAAGCCTTTCTGTTGGCTTAGTAGGGGGCAGCAAGAATGAATCCCCTGGTCCAGGTTCTGGAACAGGAGGAGGATATTCTACCTCCACCTCTGTAGCCTGATTGGGATTGTTCTGCATTAAAGCATGAGGCTCCCCAGTAAACTCTGGTGGTGGCTGCACAGGCAGTGCCGGTGGTTTTATACCCACTGGTAAGGGTATGTGAGCAGATAAGTGACTTGGGGGTGGACCTGGTGGTGTTGAGATGTCAGGCAGAGGTATACTATGTACTGGAGGTGGTTGAATGCTATGTATGGAAGGAATGCCTTGAACAGGAGGTGGCTGAATGACTTGAACAGGGGGTGGTAGAATCCCATGCAAAGATGGAGGGTGTATGCCTTGAAGTGGAGGTGGTTGAATGCCTATTGGTGGTGGTATGCCATGAATGGGTGGTTGCACACCATGTACCAAAGAAGGGTGGACTGTCGGTGGTGGAGCCCCAGGAACAGACCCATGCACTGGAGGTGGCTGAACGCCATGTAGTGGTGGTGGCGAGGGCCAGGTGGATGGAAAACCTTGGTCTTGTTGGAATGTAGTGACAGGGCCTGATCCTGGAGGGTAGACCTCCTGGGGTGGAGGAGGAGGAGGAGCAGCGACTTGAGGTGCAATAGCCGAGGTAGAACTAGGTGGTCCAGCATAGGTGGCAAGCAGTTCTGCTGCTCCTGGATACTGAGGCTGCCCTGAGGGTCGGTAAAGACCTTTTAGAGATGGATACATATCTGGATGAGGTTCATGATGCAGTTTTGACAAGTCACCCTGTTTTGCAGATGAAGATCGTGGGAATGCTGCTGGATCAAAGTCTAAGGCTTTGGCTGCATAGGCTGTGGGGTCTTTAAGACTTTTCATTGGAACTATGGTTTCAGCCATACGCTCAGCTTCACTAGTTCTCCTCCAACGTGACTTCACCTTTTCTGGTTTTATTGGACTAGAAGAATCTCCTGAGCTTGGCAGAAATCCCTGAGAAGCTGCCATTGATGAATCATCTGACTTATAATCAGGTTCTGACTTGTCATCTCTCCGGCTCCTTTCACTTCTTCTGTCATCTGGTGATCGAGATCGGCTGTCCCTGTCATAATCATCATCATATCTTCTCCTTGATCTGTAGGAACGTTCTCGATCCCTGTCATCCCTGTCTCTAGACCTGTAGTCATCTCTGCGACTACGGTCATCTCGATCTCTCCTCCTCCTGTCATCTCGATCCCTATCTCTGTCCCGATCACGGTCTCTATCCCTTTCCCTGTCCCTATCTCTATCACGATCTCTATCACGGTCCCTGTCACGGTCCCTGTCTCTCTCACGATCTCTGTCTCTGTAGCTGCGATCATCATCATGTCGCCTCCTCCTGTCTCGTCTGTCACGGTCATCCCTTTCTCTTCGTTCCCGATCTCTCTCACGTCTATCTCTTTCCTTTCTGTCTCTTTCATCTCTTTCTCTTCTTTCCTCCTGTTCTATCCTCTCCCTTTCCTCTTTCTCTTTCTTTTCCTTCAACTCAATTTCTTTCTGCTTTTCTTCAAGTTCCCTCCTTTCCTTATCTTCTTTCTCCGACTTTTCTTTCTCTTCCTGCAACTTATTCATTATTGTCTCTTTGATACTCAAAGCCTTCACCTCAGATGTATGGGCAACCCTTTCAGGGAGCTGAGGAAGTTGTGGAACTCTTTCAACAATTTGTATGTATTCCTCCTTGGTAGACTCAGGTGTAGAAGAGTCTTTCTCGCTAACATCTTGTTGAACAAGATCACTCTTCTCTACTTCTTCTGGTTTTTCTTCTTCAACTTTTGCAGTTTTGACCTTCTTTCCACCTTTATCACATTTCCCAGTCTTTCCCCCTTTACCCTTTGGTTTCAGTTCTGACTCTGAGGGAACATCTACTTGTTTCTTCTGAAGGCGGCCACTACGTCTGCGTTGTGGTGTCAATGACTCTGCTTCCGCCTCTGCCTCTGCCTCTGCCTCAGCAGATGGTTCATCTACCTCAACCGGCTCAGGCTTTTGTTTTTCAGTTGTCACAAGTTTCTGATTCCCTGATTTTTTACTTGGCTCTTCCTCCGGCATGGTCTTATTAGCATTAAGGCGCCTGCTTCTTCTTGGTTGGACCTTAGATTCTCCTATACTGTCCTCAGTTGGGGTGCCAGGTGATGGCTCCTCTGCTGTAGTTACAGCCTGTTCTTCCTTCTGTGCTTCCTCATCCTTTACAGACTGTGTCTCTGCCTTGGTTTCCTGTGTTGCTGTTGAAATTTCTGACTCAACCTTCTCTGATTCCTCACCCAGTTGAACGTTCTCTGTCACTGCACACTTGACACCTCCTGCACGATTGTCATGTGCCACATCCACTATGTCACACTGTTCAGTGTTTGCTGGCACAATGTCTTCCCCATCACCAGGACTTACTGTGTCTTCATAAGCAGAAGCTTCCTGGGATTCATCCATCTCGGGGACAGCAGACACATGTGCTATTTGTTTCGATTCTATATTTGTACTGCTATTCCCATAAGCTGGTTCAATGTCAACAGTTTCAGGCTTAGTCTCTGACTGACAGATATCTTCTGACTTGGCTTCACTGTCCATTTTATGACTGCCATCTGTTACAGCTATGGCTGGATCATTGCCCTTTCTCTCCTCCGTACTTAAACGGAGAACCATTTCTGTCATATCTGCCCGTGTGTCTTCAATAAGTAGTTCAGATGCATCACTTTGAAGTGGAGGGCAGATATCTTTACACCTTAAAGGCATATTTATGGCTGACTTGTTGGTAACTTCGCCAGTTGGCAATGTGAGTACAGGCTTTGAAGCTTCTAGTTCATCTCTTGCATCATCCTGTATTTCAAATGATTCAGGGGGGGCTTTCTCTGTAGGTGACAGGTCTACTTTTAGTTCTGGAACAGGCATGAAGTCTTTGAGTGAAGGTTCTGGAATAGGGGAATATTTAACAGAATCTTCAGGCTGATGTTCATGAATCTGTGGGATTGGGGCAGTTGGGTATTGCTGAGTTTGACCTGAGTTGTCAACAGGAGGATCAGATGCTCTCTCATCAAGAGAGGATGTAGGGAGATTTGGTACATTATCTGCTGCATGATGTAGTTCTTGAAATTCAGACTGCTTTGGCACATCTTTGAAAGAATTAGAAGATACCACAGAGTTATCAGGAGCTGCTTGTGAACTGCTTTTGACACCAGAAAACATCACTGTGGAAACCATGTCAACCTTTTCAGTATGGTATTTATTGTCAACAGCCACTTCTATCTTCGATTTCTTCTCCAGAATTTGTCTCTCTGTATTCACAGGTTTCCTTAAAGATTTTTCACTTGACTCAGTTGGCGATTCAACTTCCCGAGATCTTGACCTAGTCAATATCTTAACTGGAGCTTTTGAGCTGATATCTTTTAACTTTGGAAAATCCTCAAAGCCTATGCCTTCCAAGGGTATTGTGGGTTCTTTCTTTGTTAAAAGGTTTAACTTGAGATTAGAAAACTTAGACGGTCGATTCATAGGCTTGAAAGATTCAGTCTGTACACTTTCTGATATTGCAATGACAAAATCTTCCTTTTGCCTCTTGCATTGAGTGTCTTCTTCATCATCCAGAACACTTTCAATCTTCTTTGTTGGAAGGACTTTGGGTTTTCCAAAACTGAGAGAAAATTTGATCTTTTCTGTTTTGGTTTGCTCCATTTGAACTTGATTTAAACTCTCCAATTTAGGAATACCTTTTGTATCTTCTGCTCCCAGTGACTGAACTTTTGGAAGACACACACTTGATGAACCCATTTCACCTTTATCATATACCGGTACTGTTTGGTGCACAACTGATGTTTCTATTGAGTTTTCTTCTTCCTCATCACACAAGTCCATGTCATCACTGGAGTAGTTGTCCTGTCTCAAATTGGCTGATTCCACCTTGCTATCAGTAGCATTAACAACAGGCATCTCTGCAGTGTCCTGTGTTGCCACGACTGGCAGTAACGCAGAGCCAGGAACATCAGGGAGAGGAATATCAGGTAGTGGAATATCATTAAGATCAATTACATGTTCAGCAGCTATTACTGGTTTGGGAATCACCTTCTTCTCTGATGATGTTTTCAGATCAGAAATCTCTTTCGGTTTATCAGGAGAATATTTTCTTGATCGATACATTCTTCCCATTGAGTCGGTTTCTCTCTTATCTCTGTCCCTCCTAGATCTGTCTGGTGAGTCTCTTCTCCTTCTTAACCTCTCTCTATCAGCTGAATCTTCTCTCCTCCTATACCTGTCCCTCTCTGGAGAATCGTCCCGCCTTCTAGAGTATCGATCTCTACTGGAGTCTCTTCGTCTATCAGATTCCCTCCTTCTGCTTCTATCACTACTACTTCCTCGCCTTCTACGGTCTCTGTCAGCGCTGTCATCACGTCGGCGTGACCTATCGGCACTGTCATCACGTCTGCGTGACCTATCAGCACTGTCATCATGTCGGCGTGACCTATCGGCACTGTCATCAGGTCGCCGTGAACGATCTGCACTGTCATCACGTCGGCGTGAGCGATCGGCACTGTCATCACGTCGGCGTGAGCGATCGGCACTGTCATCACGTCGGCGTGAGTGATCGGCACTGTCATCATGTCGGCGTGAGTGATCAGCACTGTCATCACGTCGGCGTGAGCGATCGGCACTATCATCTCGGCGTCGTGAGCGATGATCTCTCTCTGAACTGTTATCCCTACGGCTTCTACTTCTTTCTGAACTATCTTCTCTCCGACGAGACCGATCTCTCTCGGAGCTGTCATCTCTTCTTCTAGAGGATCTGTCTTTGTCATGGCTATCATCTCTTCTCCTCAACTTGACTCGTTCAGAACTTTCATCCAGTCTCCTTCGTGACCTACTCCTGTCTGTACTATCATCCCTTCGCCTTGATTGCTGACTTTCACAACTGTCACCTCTTTTCCTAGATCTATCACTGCTGTCCCCTGGTCTCCGATGCTTTGACAGCTCAGAACTGTCATCTTGCCAACGAGACTTTCTTTTTTCTGAGCTATCATCCTTTCTGGATCCACCCCTATCTGCACTCCTCCGGGAGTCATCACTGCCATCCCTCCTCTTAGATCCTTGTTTCTCAGAACTGCCATCTCGTTTTGTCATCTCACAGCTACCCTCTCTTGCCCTGGATTGTTCATCACTGGTAACCCGCTTTTTGCACTTGTCCAGATTGCTGTCTCCAGAGGCATCCTTCCTCTTCTCACCCTCTTCACTTTTGGTCACTTGCATTACAGCATCTGATGTTGCACTTTTTACTGTACTGGCCTCTTTTTCAACAACAGAAAGGGATTTTGAAGGTTCAGATATTTCAAGGAGACAATCACCTACTTGAGAAATCTCTGGTGATGACTCATAGCCAACAATTGGAAACTCTTTGATGGGAAATGAAGTTGCTGAATCAGGTGACTCAGTTACAATTGTGTCTGTAAACTTTCTCTCAACTTTTACTTTAGAGGGAGAAACTGACTTTCTATGAACAAGTTTTTCCTGGCTTTGTGATTGCCTTTGTTTGCTTTTATGCGATAATGAAAATTTCTCCTGAGATGGTGATGTGCTAATCCTTGAGTGTGATTTGGTTTCAGGTTGATGAACTGAATACTGATTACTGACATACAGCGTGTCACACCCATGCTCTTCTTTTGGTGGAGTTCCCCACATGGATCTTTCTGGAATGGTCAATACTTCATCATCAGATGGGGAGGAATCCCACTTGGAACGGAACCTGGAATCTTGAGTCACCTGCCAGTTTACTTCTTCTGAGGTTTTAATTTCCTTGCTAACAACATCCAAACTGTCAGATATGGTTTTACCTATAGAGCCTTTTCCTAACTGACCATCGCTTTCTCTAATTGCTGACACAATCATTGAATTGTCCATATCTTTCCTCCTATCAAGATCAGATTTTTCTGGGGAGTCCCACTTGGATCGTACAAGACACTCAATATCCACAGTATCTTTGATCTTGTGAGTTTCATCCATCATTTCAGGTGAATCCCATCTTGACCGGCTAGGAAATACATTAGCCTCTTGGTACTGCGCTTGCACTTTCTTTTGGCTATCTTCATTGATGGCAGCTGAAGGCAACTTATCATGCAATGACTTTAATTTGGGTATTTCAGAAAGGTTCTTCTCCTTAGATTTTAAAGTGTCCTTTTCCTTATCATCTGTGTCAGTACTTTTGGAAATAACTTCAGTGTCAGGTGATATATGCTGACTCTTTGTTTGTGCAGTCTTGTGTGTGATCTCTTCAGAAATCTCTTCTTTCTCACGAGATAATGACCGGTCTCTTCCTGAGTGTCTTCTCTTAACATCCTTCTCTTCAGAGTCAAGTTTATCTCTTTCGTTCTTATCCTTAGACAATGACCGGTCTTTATGAGATCTTGTTTGCCTCTCCTTTAACTTTTCAGGTGAAATGTTACTTCGTCGGCGTTTTGAACGGTCATTATCCTTGGACTCAGAGCTATCCGTCCTCAGTCGTGTTTTTCTATCATCTATATCCCTCGATTTCTCAGCTGATACCTCCCTCCTCCTAGATTCTGAAAGTGTCCCCTTATCTCCGGACCTAGACCTTCCTCTACTGGAACGCCTTCTGCTTGGTTCACACTCCATTTCAGGAGACTCAACTTTCTTCTCTTCCTCTAATAACTTGCTTGTCCTACTTAATCTTGATTGCTTACCATATTCCTTGGGAAGCCTTTCTGGAGAATCTTCCCACTTTGACTTTTTAGGAAGTGGCTTAATTTCAGGAGATTTTGAAGAATCTCTGAGAAGGCGTCTTTTTCGTATATCTTTCTCCTCCTCAATACCCCTTTCCTGTTTCAATTTGTCCTTCATTAAGTCTGCTGCCAAATCTACCTCTGACATCTCTGTGGCACCTTCAACCTTTACTGCCATGCTGGTCTGATGTGTGGAGTCGGTCAGCACAGTTTCAGACGGTGACATACCCACCGTGGGATGAACACCATTATCAGCAACAGCATCATCCATCTCTGAAGAAGGGGATCTGTAGGTTATGGATTTTCTTTGTTTCTTTAACTGAGGATCATCTGCAAGTGGTAAGCTTTCCTGTTTTTCCTGTCTTATTTCCTCTTCTTGATCTTGCTTTTCCAATGTAATTTCACTTCCTTTCTTGACAGGAGAAATGACGCTTTCATCCATATCTTCTAATCTCACTAAATTCAGTTTAACCTCAGCTCCCTTTAGTGTCTTCACATATGTGGTTGCTTCTTTGTCATCATCAGTCTTCATTTTTTCTTGTTCATGAACAGGAGACCTCTCCTTTCTAGCTCTTCTTTCTTCAGGGGACATACTCCTTAACGATTTCACATCCTCATCATGTGAAGATAAACGACTACTTCTTCTTCTGCTGGATCTTTCTTTACCCCGATCAGATGAAGTTGATCTGTCACTACAAGAATGCTTTTCTCGCACTGGGGATTTCTCACTTTGTGATCGCCTTCTACTTCTGTCTCGATCTTTTTCCCTTGATGATGACCTATCACTTCTTGATCGCCTTGACCTATCATCTTTTTCTTTTTCCTTTTCTCTTCTTCTTTCTTGAGATGGGGATCTATCTCTTAAACGTCTTGATCTTCTAATTTCAGGTTCAATGGTTTTTGGTGCCTCTGTAAGTTTTTCTAACTTTTGGACAATCTCTATCTTCTCCTGCTCTAACTTGAGTTTTTGTACTTCCTCAGCAGACATAAAACCACACCTTACTATACTAGCAATGTCTTCTTCAGTACAGAACTTTAACCCTCCTTTCCCTCTTACATATGCTTGAACTGCACTCTTCTGTGATTCAGATGGCCCCTCTGCATCTGGTCGGAACATCTGTTTTTTGTTGACTTTGAATCTAACAGGTGTCACAGCACTTTCACTACTTTCTTCATCATCTTCATCGCCATCATCAGAGGAAAAAACAGATTTCTTTGCTGGTTTGATCTGGAAAGAGATTTTACCTTTTCCAGCAGGTGGTGAAGCTAAAGCAAAGTTTAGCAGCTTTGCTCCAGAAGACGTACTTTTACCTGCATCTGTTGATGCAGAAGTCTGGCCACTAAATTTGTTCAACAACTTCTGAGCATGAGACAGTTCAGGTTCAGGTGGAGGATGGACTGATTCCATTTGAGGTGGTGGTGGGGGAGGAGTTCCTTCGGACTCGCCTGACGGTTCGGATGTCCGGGAGGAGGATCGCTGTCGGGTTCTACGAGGTGACACAGGTGGAGGTGGTGGAGGCTCATGTTCTGAAAATCCATGCTTTTTCTTTTTCCGCTTTTTCCCTCTGCTTTTGCTTTGTGGCGAGGAAGGTTCTGCTGGTGGCATTGGTGGAAGAGGTACGTCATCTAGGTTAATGTTCAGCGTGTTGGGCAATGGTACATCTGGAAGCATCTTACTACTATGACATTGTGTTGATGTTTTTCCTAGTGGTATGGGATCAAGACATGTATCTGCTGTGGTCTGCTGCTGCCGGGTGGGAGGTAGAGGAACTTTGTGGTCAGCAGCTTGTCCTGGTGTTGTGGGAGACTGGACTCGAGGTAGTGAGATGCTCAGCAGCTTGGTAGGGCTCTCAGCTGGATCAACTTCCCCCTCCACAGGGTCACTGGAACACAAAGACACAACACTCACAAACTGGTGTCAACTCCACTAACATTTCATAGCAATCTTTAACATTTCACAGATAAGCTTTGTTCAACCCTGTCATGTAACATACAAGCCTTGAGAATGGTTTACAAAACAAATGTGATCCAAAAATGAGCAAATATCATTTGAGATCAATTGAAATAATCATATATGGATCAGTTGAGACAGTAAACCAAATCAATTATCTTTAGAACTCATAGACTTTTTACTATTCCCATCACTACATTTAAGCATCGACTTTCACTTTCAGTAAGTTCATTGGAGCATGAACATTCATAGTGAGTGAGTGAGTGAGTGAGTGAGTGAGTGAGGAGTTGGGTTTAACGCCGCTTTTAACAGTATTCCAGTTATATCACGGCGTGCCAGCTTAATGTGGGAGGAAAGCCCGAAGTGATGAAGGTCTGAGACGTTTACCACTTCAGTGAAACCCACGAGCACGTGTATGGTGCTGACAAACCTAGAAACATAATTGGGGCGAACCGGGATTCGAACCCACAATCATAGGTTTCTGGCGTGTCCAAGGGACGCAACTCTGCACAGCGAATCGCGGCGCCTTAGACGACTGGGCCACCCGTGCCCCCTAACATTCATAGAGTAAGGGCCAAACTGTATGATCGTCAGAGCTGTGCAATATTAATTTTTTATATGACTATTTTCCCTCTAAGGTTGCAGGCCTAGATTTATACACAATTATATAAAGAGGTATGTGTGACTTCACTGACAGCCATACAACAGAAAACTGTATCGCAGAATGAAAAAGATCCTCAAAAAGAAGTGACATGATCGTAAGTATGCTCAACTTGCTTTACAGGAACATCTGTTGTAGTTTTTGACAACAAATGTCAAACAAACAATCAATCACTGGTCTGTCTGACCCAGTTAACCAACAAGGGCTGTTGCTCAAACAACCAGTCACTCGTCTGTCCCAGTTAACCAACAAGGGTTGATGCTCAAACAACCAGTCACTGGTCTGTCCCAGTTAACAAACAAGGGCTGATGTTAAAAAAAACAGTCACTCGTCTGTCCCAGTTAACCAACAAGGGCTGATGCTCAAACAACCTGTCACTCGTCTGTCCCAGTTAACCAACAAGGGTTGATGCTCAAACAAACAGTCACTGGTCTGTCCCAGTTAACAAACAAGGGCTGTTGCTCAAACAACCAGTCACTCGTCTGTCCCAGTTAACCAACAAGGGTTGATGCTCAAACAACCAGTCACTCGTCTGTCCCAGTTAACCAACAAGGGCTGTTGCTCAAACAACTAGTCACTGATCTGTCCCAGTTAACCACCAAGGGCAGATGCTACAAACTATCAGTCTTATTGGTGTTGAGCAATAACACAATCACAATATCTTTCACCAAGATTACTACTGTGCACGACATCTACATTAGTATTCAACAGTGCCTGCAACATACAGCATTCACCGGCAACCTTTGATATAACGATGTGAAATAATAGGTGAAGCACAAATGCTTTGAATATCAACCACATAACATGCAGGTTTTATCAAAATAACCATCTGTAATGAAGCTGGTTCTAATCACCAGCAATTATGTATGAGTCAAACTGAGTTTTTGAATAGCCGGATCACACATTGTCGGTACTGACTTGTTACAGTACATGACAATCCCAATGTCTTCATGACGTCAAATGTGACAAGAAACAAACACCAAACAGGGCTCAAACGTAGTTTAATCAATGTATTCCAGGGTTCAAAATTAAGCATGAAATTCAAGTGGTCCTTTTCATAACCCCCAAAAAGAAAAATTTCAATACAATAGTAGCAACACCCAAAAGTTGGTTTGCTGTTCCAACACCACATTCAGCAATATTCCAGCCACATTATGGCAGCCTATTATTAATCAAGTTGGGACCAAACAATGCAGACCTCACAGACCCTCTTTAAATGTCTTCAGAAGATAATGTGAAATTTCTATAGACACTTCCTTGCGGAATTGTCCTCATAACAGCAGAACAACTTAGGTAATGATATGCCATGTTGACACTTTTCCTTCAAGTAATAGGTGGTATTTAGTAGTCCTATATTATGCAATGATAAAATGATTTAGTGTTTGCCATGGTCCGGTGGTGCTGCTATCACTGCTTATAGACTCAGTTGATCACCTTTCCGGGCTTACAAAAGAAACCACTTTTTAGAGGGGTAAAAATGCAAGCAAAACAGAATTTCAGCAACCCCTATTTTGACAAATATTTATTAAATATTTTCAGACAATACTGATGGACAATTGTGGTGTACAATATGTCCTGACTGATTCTTAAATATTCACTCATTGAATGTAACAAGACACACAAGAAACAAATAACCCACTACTTGTATTACAATCGAAACAATGAAAATTTTGACTGAAGACCCTGACCATCAAGAAATTAGATTCAGTGAATTGTTGACATTTTGCAGTCGAGAATGAAGGCTGAGAAAGGGCTCCTTGAGAGATCCAACAGCAAAACACCTCATAGGTAAAGAGAAAGAAACAACAGATGCAGGCAGTTTCCTAGCACTTTAAAATTAACATGCCATGCTGAAGAAAAGCAATGAATCCAGTAAACACGAGAGTTGAGGTTTAAGTGTACTTTATCTTCTTCATACTTTGTGGTATATAGCTTTTTCATGCTTATTTATGAGAAAATTCTATCAAAATTCAAACTTGGAAAATAGCTTCAAATAATGGCCATGTTTAATTTGTGTTCACCTCATATTATCTTCACTGCTGTCAAAGTTGTAAATCACACAAAATTATTCAAAGAGGATGTGAAGAAATCATCACTTGGTATCTAAACTGCACAGCTTCAGCATTTGTTTCATGTTATCTTCAATGTGTCTTCTTCATTATAACTGTCCTTTTATCAACCAGAAAATATTACAAGATTGGTCAGAAAACCAATCAACTCCCTCTCTTTGATTTGACTACATGAAATGACAACGTTTTACAACATGTGATACAGTATGTAAATATTTAGTCCCATCTGTCATTAGAAGTTGCGGAATTTCTCAAGGGTACCTCTATACAAATTCCTATATCCAGTATACAATGCCTACCAACATTATGGAAATGAAGACAGCCCAGCCTTAGCTAGTGCACTCAGACTAACGATTGCTTTGTTTGAGAGAGCAGCCAGTCTGCCTGCAAGCTATGGCTATGAGCTTGCAAGCAGTCAGTGAGCTCCGGCTGTAATGAGGTCAGATAGCTGGGCCAGTCAGCCATATTGCATTCTGCCATGCCAGCAGACAACAAGCAACTAGCTGAATAATTCACTGTATTGAGAAATTGCTCTGATCAGTTTGTATGGGAGATACTGCAAAATGTATGAATGTTGATATGTTGTTGTAATGGTGGGTACTATTAATAACTGGACAGACGTCCTCCAGGATGTAAGTGTGTAAGAGGCTTGTGGGATGCAGATGTACAGTGTTAATGTTACCTCTGTCTCTGCAAATACTTGCTTGGCAAGGCTCAGTGTCTGCTGCTGACTTTTTCCTTGTGCACGGATAATTTCTCAAAAGCTGAATTTCACTGAAACAATCCCTCAATCATAAGAGTGATTGCCAAAATTACCATGTGTTAAAAGACAAGATGTGGTGTTGATGTGCTGGCATAGAATTGTCTAACATCCCAATTTCATGAAATCTATGTGTACATGGCTGTCTTGTTGCAGTGTTGGAAAGATGTGATCCCTCTCAAGAAGGATTGAGTTCATGAAGATAATTTAACTTCAGATGCATGTAAATTGCAAATACTTTAGCAGAAGATTTAAGCAGGTCATAACAATGTACACTAAACTTGTTTAGTGCAGACTGTGTGTGTGTGAGTGTGTGCGTGTGTGTGTGTGCATGTGCATGTGTGTGTGCCTTTAACACTGCACTCAGCAATATTCCAGCTATATGATGGCAGTCTGTGAATAAGTTGTCCAGTAATTGATATCCACTGTTATCCCCTCAACAATAAAATACTCGTTTAAGTTTGTATCTGCTGTTATAACCTACACAACGTATTCCTGTGTGAAGGTTGGATTCACTGTTATAGATAACACGCCACTATCAAGAATTAAGATTGTATACATCTCTATAGCTTCCACAATACAGTCTTTAACTGTGATTGTCTCTGCTGTTATTACTAATGCTCCAGCATGTATGATGTTAAGGTTTTCTAACACTACCCAACATTACAAACATGGTATCTAAGCCTGAACAATGCACATTCAGTTGAAACTATTCAACCAGCTACTAAGACTTGCACAAGTCTTTAAGGCAATAATTATTAGTTTAAATCATAAGTTCTAGATTATGTAAATAATAAGAACAAGTTGTCCCTAATAGAGACTGATCTAGACTTGCCTATTAGGGGGATAGAATTACTACACATCCATGGATGTTGCTTTCAATACAGCCTTGGAGCAAGGCTACCAGGTAATCTGTGATATCAGTATCAGCCCAGCAGTGGGGTCAGCAGTGGGGTCGGCAGTGAGGTCGTAGATGAACTGCCTGACCTGGGCTCAGCACTATCACTATCACCCTATCACTCGCACCAAGTGTAAGTATTGCATAATTGGTGTGTCCTGGACTTGCTGTACACATGCTTACAATCATTTGTAGTATGGGTAACAAACAAAATGCTTCACACACTTGGCAACTGGAGCAGTCTGGAGCCTTTGATTCGAGTGGGAAGACGATATTAGAACACAGTGCAACAAGAAACACAGCAACTGTCACCATTATGCCTGATCTTTCAGAATACAAGAAGAGCTGGCTCTAGCCATGGCAGCCACTGGTCAACATGATGTAATATGTTCAGTTATCACTTCATTAGGATGCATATTATGGGTCATGCAAAATGTACACAATGTTGAATCCTTTGTTAAATAGATCACCTCTGTTTTACAGACAGAACCTTCTATTTTTCAGATCCAAGATAGTTAAACTTTAGGTTTCATTGAGTGGTCTG